GGCCTACTCCATTAAGGACAAGCTGCAGGCCATCGAGCGCGTCAAGGGCGGCGAGCGGCAGGCCAGCGTGTGCCGCGACTTCGGGGTGCCGGGCGGCACGCTGCGCGGCTGGCTCAAGGACGAGCCGAAGCTGCGCTGGTTCCTGGAGCAGCTGGGCGGCGAGGTGGGCACGCAGCGCAAGAAGATGCGGCTGGCCAACGAGGAGGAGATCGACCGCGCCGTCTACTCGTGGTTCCTGGCGCTGCGGCAGCACGGCGTGCCGCTGTCGGGGCCGCTCATCCAGGCGCAGGCCGAGGCCTTCGCGCGCCAGATCTACGGCCCCGAGTGCACCTTCAAGGCCAGCCACGGCTGGTTCTGGCGCTGGCAGAAGCGCCACGGCATCTCCAGCCAGCGCATCTACGGCGAGGCCGAGCCCTTGGCCGCGGGCCCCGCGCCCGGCCCGCCCGTCAAGCAGGAGCCCGCGCAGCCCCCCGGCTCCGGCGCAGGCCCCCTGCCAGACCGGGCCCCAGCCCCGCCGCCCCCCGCGGAGGGCGGCTACGGCGACGAGCAGATCTACAACGCGAACGTCACTGGCCTCTACTGGAAGCTGCTTCCGGAGCAGGCCGCGCCCCTGGGCGCGGGGGACCCCGGCGTGGGAGGCTGCGGCCGGCGCTGGCGGGGTGACAGGGTGACCGTGCTGCTGGCCGCCAACCTGACCGGCAGCCACAAGCTGAAGCCGCTGGTCATCGGGCAGCTGCCGGACCCTCCTAGCCTGCGCCACCACAACCAGGACAAGTTCCCCGCCTCCTACCGCTACAGCCCAGATGCCTGGCTCAGCCGTCCACTGCTGCGGGGCTGGTTCTTCGAGGAGTTCGTCCCCGGCGTGAGGCGGTACCTGCGCCGCAGCTGCCTGCAGCAGAAGGCTGTGCTGCTGGTGGCCCACCCGCCCTGCCCCAGCCCAGCAGCCAGGATGCCCGCCCTGGAGGACAGCGAGGACACCCTCCGGCGGTGTCGGCCTGAGCCCCTCAGTCCCCCAGAGGAGCTCCAGACCCCGGACGGGGCTGTGCGCGTGCTCTTCCTGTCCAAGGGCAGCGGCCGGGCGCACATCCCGGCGCCGCTGGAGCAGGGCGTTGTAGCCGCCTTCAAGCAGCTGTACAAGCGGGAGCTGCTGAGGCTGGCCGTGTCCTGTGCGGGGGGCTCACCACTGGACTTCATGCACAGCTTCATGCTCAAGGACATGCTCTACCTGGCCGGCCTGTCCTGGGACCTGGTGCAGGCAGGCAGCATTGAGCGGTGCTGGCTGCTGGGCTTACGGGCGGCCTTCGAGCCCCGGCCCCCCGAGGATTGTGCTGGGCAGCCCGCCTGCCAGGCCGAGGAGGCCGCCGAGCACAGCCGGGTGCTCAGCGACCTCACGCACCTCGCAGCCCTGGCCTACAAGCGCCTGGCGCCAGAGGAGGTGGCCAAGTGGCTGCACCTGGATGATGACGGGGGCCTGCCCGACAGCTGCAGAGAGGACGCAGGCCCTGGCCGGCCCCCTGTGCTGGTCCCTGCTGCCCCTCCCACCCTGGCCAGCCTACCCTCTGTCATGGGGGGTGGGGCGGAGGAGGAGGAGGAGGCTGCCGTGCCCACAGCTGGGGAGGCTGTCCGGGGTCTGGAGACAGCTCTGCGGTGGCTGGAGAATCAGGACCCCCAGGAGGTGGGGCCGCCCAAGCTGGTGCAGTTGCGCTCCCTGATCAGCATGGCCCGGAGGCTGGGGGGCATCGGTCCCTCTTCTGCAGTCCCCGAGGACGGGGTGTGACCAAGCCAGCCTGAGTGGCCCCCACGGTGGCTGTTCTCCTGCTGCACTTGGAGGGAGGGGACACACACAGTCTTCCATTTCCTCTCCTTCCCTCCTCTGGGATGGCCCACCCCATGGCTCAGGGGGCTCCAGGGATCCCAGCCCCAGGCTGGCTTGGAGGAGCTCTGTTAGGCTCTGCTCCACCAGTCCACCATCTTCCTGAGGGGGAGCTAGAAGAGGGGCCCCGGGCTCCTACATCTCCTCCCTGGGCAAGCACTCTCGTGGGGTCTGTGGTTTTAGCTGGGGTCCCTTGGCACACACACGACGTAGCGCGCTAATCAAAGCCGCTCTTGGTTTCCCAGCTCTGGCCCTTGTGGGCTGAGACCTTGAGCCCGGTGCCTGTACCTCCTCCCTCCTCCCAGGTGGCCCATCACATGTACTGTACAGGGGCCGGCACTCCCGCAAGTCTGGAGCTCTGGTGCTTCACGGTTCCCATGCCTGGCCATGCAGTCATCGTGGAGGCACACCGCTCCATTTTGGTTTTCAGCACGTTACACCCATTTTTACAGATGCCCTGCCTGGTGGCCAGCATGGTGTCTCATTCTCCAGCCTGGGGCTGGTCTTGGAGGTTGGCTCCGCAGAGGATGGGGCCCAGTGACTGGGGACCCCAAGGTGCTGGACGCAGCAGGGAGTGTAGATTTCTCTTCCACTGGGATTGTTAGTTTTCCTTAAAATTCCACTCCCAAACCACTGTCTTATTTTATGGGGTTAGCAGCCTTCTAGACTTGGGCCCCTGGTGACTTGACCAGGGACCGAGCAAGCTCCCTGGACCGGCCACGCCGTCCACCCGGAGCGGGCTTGTACTGACAGCCACACGGGGACAGCCCGACAGTGCCTTAGTGCGCCTCCGAGGCCGCCCCACCGCTCCCGGCACTGCCAGGGCTGTGGCTAAGGAGCCACTTCCCACAGCCCAGCACCCAGGCTTCTGAGGGGCTCCACTTGGGAGAAAGAGCGCAGCGCTCGGCGTCCCCACCCAGCTCTAGCTGCAGGCCGGCCGCTGGTCCGCGGCCCAGCCCGTGTCCCCCAGGAGCGGCCTTTCTACCCTCTCTCCACCCCCACCTGCCTCACATCCTCCTGCTGTAGGTGGACGGTGTGTTCGTGGGAGGAGGCAGCCATGAACTGCGGAGGCAGCTGGAGGGAGCCCCCCAGAGCAACTTCCTCACGAGTCTAAGAACAGAAATTATCCCGTGGAACTGTACTGTTTGTGGGTGGGTTACACACATATATCTTAAATCTGGAAGCTGAGGGAGGGTGTAAAAAATCTGGGGGCAGGGGCTTGACTCGCCAGGCCCAGGGCAGCAGCCCCCAGCTGGAGACTGTGCATCCACTTAATAACGGACTCAAGCCCATGGCCCTGGAGGCCCCTTTGGCCGTCTGGCTGGTCCTGGGACTCGAACCCAAGCAGGTGGCACGGGGTTTTGGGAGGTCTTACCTTTTATAACATCTGATGGCAACTCAGGGACCTAGGGCTGGGAGGCCCTGGCCTCTGCTCTACCAGGCCTGCCCCCGGGGTTATCTGGAGAGGCCGACCTCAGGGCCCACAGGGGCACCAGGCAAGGGTGCACCTGGGCCTGAGTTTCTCTCTGCTGAATGGCTTCCAAAAAGCTGCTCTCGGTGAGGGCCCTCGTTAGGGCCTCCAGTGGGCTTGGCAGTGGGCTGGGAAAGGGAGGTGCAGGAGATGGAGACAGGCCAGTGTGCAGGTTCTGCTAAAACTGCCCTTGACCTGCACCTGTTGGGGTGGATGAGACCATGCTGCAGGAAAGGGAGCCCATCTGAGAGGCATGGTCTTGCTGAAAGGGGCTGCAGGCCTGGGAAGCTACCCCCAGCTAACGGGTGGGCTGCGGGGGCCAAGTCAGCTTGTGGTGAGGGGAGGAGCGTGCCCTCCAGCCCGGCTCCCAGCCCAGCAAGTCAGGATCGCGGTGGAGAGCTGGGCGCTGTTTGTCCTCAGATAAGAGTGCCTACCGGTGAGGCTTGACTCTAGGAGTGTGTCCTGGGCAGAGCAGGGGCTTTTGGGGTGCACGCTCTATTGAGGGACCTTTTCACAGCCATCCTTGCTGATGGGGCAATTCACGCAGTCAGATGGGCCCAATGTGCATTATAATAAAGGTTCGTGTCAACTTTATGTGTCCCTGTTCCAAAGTCTTATTTTAATATATTTTTTTGAGTTTTGGCATCTATTTTACTTTATTTTTTAAAGATTTTATTTGCGAGAGAGAGAGCGCACGATAGGAGGAGGTCAGCGGGAGAAGCAGACTCCCCGCCGAGCAGGGAGGCCGACACGGTACTCAATCCCGGGACCCCAAGGTCACGACCTGAGCCGAAGGCAGACACATTGCCAACTGAGTCACCCAGGCGCCCCATTTTACTTATTTAAACAATCTCTCCGTCAAATGACTGAGCGCGTGACCCTGAGGATCAAGTTCCGTGCTCTATACCCTCAGCCAAGCAGGTAGTTCTGAAGTCTTAATTTTGTAATTTCTGACGCAATGCTTAGATCTAGACCACCTCATAATCTGAAAACGTGAGGGAGACACGAACACTGACGAAAGAAGTTCAAGTAACCTGAGCGTGGGCTACGAGGGGAGCTGTGGGCAGCCTGTGAGGAGGCTGCAGCCTGACCCCCAAAGCCACTCATGACTCCTGTCCTGTCCAGGGCATGGCTGCCCTCCCGCCTGGCTGGCCAGAGGTGCGTCCCCTGTCCCACGAGCTGACCCCACCAGGTTCCCGGGCTGTATGAGGAGGCGCACAGCTGAACCCACCACACACCGGGGGGCAAGGAGCAAAGGTTCCAGCCCACAGGGCCGACAGCCAGGACCGGTGACCGGTATCCCCAGACCACCTGCACCCTGCCAGCTCCCAGGGCCCAAGCCTCAGCTCACAGGTACCTCCGGGCCCCCGGACTCTGCTTTCTGAGCCTAAAGATCGGTCACTCAGTGTGATCGGACAGCGCCTTTATTCCCGCCTCCCAGGTCGGTCAGGTGCAGAAGCGCCTGGGGACGTGCGCGGGAGGCCAGGCTGGGGATGGAGGGCAGGAGCAGGGGAGCACTGCTGCAGGGTGTCACCAGCCACCACCCGACGGACGGACTGGCTGCAAACCCCACCTCGTGGGGGCCGGGCATCGGCAGGCCGGCAGGCAGGAGCGAGGGCAGTTCCAGCACTCCAGGGCCTTGGTGGGGTGGGGGAGCTCCAAGAGCCACGGGGGTAGTGTGGGGGGACAGCGGCAGGCAGCCCACCGTCCACCCAAAGGCCCCAGGGCCTTGGTTTGGGACCCAAGTTCCTGGCATTCCCAGCTGGTTGCTCCATGTGGGGATATGCCGAAGAGTCACGTCCTTCAGTCAGAGGCCAGGCCAGGAGACCCTTGAGGATGACCCAGGGATCGGTTGTCAGGGTCAGCTGTGCCTGCCACCTGCCAGGAGCTTAGCGGGGGGAGGGGCCCACACTCAGCTGAAGCCAAGTCCTTGCTCTGCAGCAGGCTAGGCACGTCCCCTGGGACCTCCCCGGGCCTGCTGGGGACCGGCACTGCGGCAGACCCACCCAGGGCTCTGTTCGTGGGGCTCCCCAAGGGAAGGACCCAGTGCGGCTTCTCCTCAGCCCCAGGGTCTTCTGAGGGGCTGCGGGCAGGGTCAAGGCCTAGCTCCCTGTAGCTGACCTGCCGCCGCCCCAGGCATGGCAGATCAACCTGGGGACAAAATAGATGTGGTGGCCTTCCAGTGCTGGCTTCAGTGAGGTGGAGCCTATCTCCCGTGCAGTGTCCAGGTCCTCCCCCAGTCCCCCACCCCCGAGCTGGCTGCAGTCACACAGCTGTTGGAAGGGCCGACCCACCAGCTGAGCACACGGGGCTCCCGGCCCACACTGCCACAGCTCCAGCCCTCCAAACCCGTCACCTGTGATGGTGGCCACTGCGTCACCTGTGATGCTGGGCCACTGCTGATGCCTCTGCCCTGCGCTGGCCGGGGTGGGGGGGGGGGGGGGGGGGGTGGTTCCCATGGTGAGGGATGCCCTGCCTATGAACCCCTCTAGTCCTGTCCCTTCTCATTTGCTCCCTTGGAGGTCGGGGTGGGGGCAGCCCGGAAGGCTCCTTCACGGTGGGGGAGCTGCAGCCCAGGGGAGGGGCAGGGAAGGCTGGGACCGGGGGAGGGGGCAGGTGGGCAGCCCACAGCCAGTACCTGTTCCCTGCTTCCCGCTGAGCTCCCTGGCCCGACAGGTGGCAGCCTCCACGGCGCTCATGGCGGCAGCCCGCAGCCCACCCCGCTCCAGGGCGTGGAGCCCGTAGATGGTGGTGCCGCCTGGCGTGCACACGTCTGTCCGCAGCTGAGCTGGGTGCTGCCCGTTCTGCTGCAACATCTTGGCTGTCCCCTGGGGAGAGGGGCCCTGGGGGTGACTCGGGGGAGGTGGGCAGCCTCTTCTCCTCTGGTGCAGCCTCCTTCAGCCTGCTCCACGCCCCTCCCCCACCCCAAATCTCCATCCAGGCTTCCTGGGCCTCTGTCCCTCCTCCGACTGCTCCTGGGAGGCAGACCAGCGCATGCCCCCTCCCACAAGCCCTTGGGGGCTGCCCTCACTCACCAGCAGGGTCTGAGCAGCGATGCGGTGGGCCAGGCTGCCCGGCATGCCCATCTTGATGGCACCCTCGGCCAGGGCCTCTGAGAAGGCACACACCTGGAAGCGGGGGCGGGGGGCCTGTCAAAGCCAACACTCTTCCGCACGCAGCTCCCAGTCTGGGGAAAGCTTGGAACCTTCAGGAACACAGCCCAGAACACTGGCCACCAGAGCAGGAATTGGGCCTGAGGCTTGAGCCCAGGGGTCTGACTGGACAAAGGCCCAAGAAGGCAACGACATAGCACAGAGTCAAGCTCACAGGCAGCCCAAGAACCAAGTCATCGAATCCCAAAGGCTGGGGTCACTGCAGGGACTCGAAGTCTCCACTTTGCCAAGGGCTGGCCTGGGGGTGGGGGACGAGGCAACACTTACGTAGGCGACACCGCTGCCACTGAGGCCAGTGTGGATGTCCACGTGGGCCTCAGGCACCTCCTCGCACTGCCCGCAGGCCTCCAGCAGGGCCTGCAGGAGCTTGGCCTCACTGCTTCCGGCGTGGCGGCCCCTGGCCATCACCATGGCCCCTTCTTGAACCACGCAAGGCAGGTTGGGTGAGACCCGCAACACCCGTGCCGTCGGGGGCAGCAGCTGGTCAGAGAGAAGCCGGAGTCAGGGGTCATGTGGCATTGGCCCTGCCAGCTGTGGGCTCCCTCCCCTGCGTCCTGAGTGGGGTGCCAGCAAGAGCCTGAGCCCCAGCCCCCTTGGCCACCTGGCCACCTCTTCAGGCTGGGGCGGGTCTGAGCGGCTATCAGTCGTAGGTGTCACCCACGCCACCTTCCTAAAGGGCTGAGCCCAGGCTGCCACCAGTCTGGGATGGCAAAAGGAGGGAAGTTCAGACCAGCAGAACGGACTCTGGGGTCAGACCCTTTAGCTCCCACATAACCTCCCCCCGCCCACCCCAGGCCACTCACCTCTTCCAAGGTGCTCAGAGAGACCCCGGCAGCCACAGACACCAAGATGTGCTCAGACGTCACCACAGGGGCCACCTCTGCCAGGACAGTGGGCAGGACGTGGGGCTTGGTAGCAAAGAACACCAGTAGGCAGTTCTGCAGGACCTCCCGGTTGGAGTGGGTGGTCTGGCAGCCCAGAGCCTGCAGCGCGGACAGCGGGATCGGGGCTAGGGTACATGGGACCTCCCAGACCGTGGCCCTACCTGCTGGAGGCCACCCTGCATCCCCAGGGGCCCCCATGGGTCTCTCCCATTGCAAGTGCCTGCACCACCCGACATCCAATGGCCAAGACTCACCCAGACCACCCGTTCTCGCTCAGGACCAGCCCTGCACCTCACAGGACCCCTGATGTCAGCATTTCTTCGCGCCCACTGACCCCAGTGAGTGCCCACAACCATCTCGGCCCTCCCAACGCACATGCACACATGTGCACGTACATGAGCACACAAGCCCTTCACTGTGTCCTAGCGCTCTGCAACTTTGACTTTTTTTCTGATCTTTGGCCTCCCCTTTCCCAGTCCAGCCCAGCCAGTCTCAAAAGTTTAGCACTTCCCTGGCCCCAGGAACTGTCTCAGAGGGACAGGGGCCAAGAGCCACCATGAGCCCCCCAGGAAAGCCTCAACTCCGAAGAGCTGGGGCCTAGCTCACCTGGAAGTGGCAGAGGTTCCTGTCGGTTGGCGCGCTGGCCAGTATGTGCCGAGCTTCCACTTTCCCTGAAGAGGGGCAAAAGCAGAAGGGTCAGTGCAGAGGTGGGGTGGGAGGAAGGGAGAGCGGGAACCAGCCTGGCCTGTCCCTTACTGAAGGGCGAGTCACGGCGCAGCCATCCGGGCCACCCTGGCCCGTAGCTGGCCCGACACTCTGTCAGAACCCAAGTGCTTGGCAAGGGCGTTCTAAGACCCAGAACCAGACACAGCCCCATTCTATTCTGCTTGTCAGTCGTCACCACCTGCCTGCCCTGATGAATCCACAGGCGGGCTAGACGCAGGAGCCAAGAGCTTGCCTGGTCTCACGAGGACACAGCACTCAGGGATGGGAAGGCTGGGAAGGGGGACTGGGCACAGTGGGGAAGGGGACACAAGAGGGCCTGGGCTTCCCTGGGAGTTGGGGGTGTGTCTGTGCTGGGATGTCCAAGCAGAGGCCACAAGCCCCCCTGGTAGAAATCACCTGCATTTGCGGTGTCCAGGGCTGGGGAGATTAAGTTTCTGCAGGGTCTAATAGGAAGGCAGAAGCGCACCCACAAGCAGAACGCAGAGCCGGAGAGTCATGACAGTAACAGCGCCACACGTGCCCAACGCACCAGCGCCGTGTTCCACACTAAACCTGTACAGCCCTGGGAGGAAAGCCATACAGCCAGCTTTCCCAGGTGAAACACCTGCGACACGCACTCAATATTTTCTGATGATTCTGAGCCTTCTGAACCCTGCCTGAGGCGGAAAGCCAGCCCATAACGTGCACATAAAGCTTTCCAAATCCCGTGGAGTAAGACCAGGACAGCACTGTGGTCCTCCACCCGGGAAGTTTTGCCCCTCAACCCCAGGGGACACGTGGTAACCTCTGGGGACAGTTACGGCTGTCGTAACTGTGGGGATGCTAGTAGTATCTAGTGGCGCGAGACCAGGAAAGCGGCCACACCCAGCAATGTGAAGGACGGAGAATTCTCTCTCCCCAAAGGGCCGCACTGCCCACGGGGAGGACACCTGCAGCCTGCGGCGCAGTGGGGCTGGCACACAAACAGGACAGAGTCGCCGTCTCAAAGGTCAAGCTCTGGACCCAGGCGGCGGACCAGAAGTTAGTGGAGGTCCCAGCTCTGCGGTGGTGCTGCCCGAGGGCAACGCCGCCGCCAAATACTTCACCTCACAGCTCCTAGCAGGCGCGTGGAGCGAGCGGGAGAGAAAGACAAGTCGCCGCCGATACACTTTATCTGACCGAACGCAAGCGAAACGCCACCCGCGCCAGCGCTAACCACCACCCAGACACGCTACTTTCTCGCTCGCTGCGCGTCCCCCGTCTTCCCGACCACACGCGGTTCTCCGTCTCACCTCGGACCGCGCCCACGTCCAGGGCTCCGCGGCCCCTCGAGCCCCACGGCCGCCGCGGGCACCGCCAGCTCTACGCGCCCTCGCGCACCCCGGCCGCCGCACTGAGGAAGCAGAGTCCGCGGTCCGCCCCGGCCCACCCTGCGGCCCCGCTGCACCCTGCGGACCCGCGCCGAGGGCTGGCCTGTGGCCCGGGCGCATCCCCCGGGGCAGGTGAGCTCCGGGCAGGTGAGCCCTTCCCTCGCACGTCGGGCGCGCGTCGGACGCCCGCTGGCTCGACCCGGGGACCCACGCGCCCACGCCCGCGGCGCCCCACCTGCTCGGATGAAGCCCTGCGCGATGGCCTCCGCCATACGTCCGGCGCCTACAAAGCCCACGCGAAGCGGGCTGGTCCCCGGCTCCGCCACCGCCGCCGCCATGTTGCCCCGGCCCGAGCCGACCGTTCCCCGCCCCACGCCCTCGGCCCAGCCAATGGGCTACGCCACCTCGCCCCTGTCCTCGCCGATTGGCTCCCGGGGCTTTACGCTCCGCCTGCCCCTTCCGGGCTCCGCGCTCTTCGCTCGCTCAGAAGCGAGTCCCTGTCCCGCTGCTCGTTGGTCCGAGAGACCGAGAGCGCGAGAGAGCGCGAGAGCGCGAGAGCGCGAGGCGCGGGGGGCGGGGCAGGGCGCCGCGGGGGCGGGGGCGGGGCACCCAACGGTCCGCCGGACCGTTTCTCCGGGCCGCTTGCTCCGGGCCCGAGCTCGCCGTGGCAGGGTCCGGGTGCGTGGTGTGGACCGCTTGAGAGGCTCCATTCAAAGGCGAAGGGTCGGAAAGGGCGGGGGTTCCTCTCTGTCCCGGCGGCCTGCGCCCTGGAGCGTGCCTGGTGGGTGTCCCTCGCGAGGACGCTGCAGAGGCCGGAAAGCTCCGGCGGGGGCTGCTGGGCAGCTTAGCTTCCAGGAGGAAGCATTCGCCCTGACTCTGATGAAAGGCCGGGGCCGGCAGGGCCTGGACCCCGGACCCCACACCCCACCATCGGGACATGTCGGGAGCCGGGGAGCGGAGCCCTGCCAGCCTTTGGCCGGTGTCTCTGGGTGGGAGCCGCGTCCTCGGGGCGCCCTGGGCCTCTGGAGCCGGGGAGTGGACTCAGGTGCGGAGGGCAGGGCTGCCAGGTCGGGGCTTGTGGTCAGCACCTCTCCAAGCCGCAGCGGGTCCAGGTGCCAGCGTAATGCGGGCGCTGCTAGGGGAATGGGAGCAGCGGCCTGTCGCTGAACGGGGTTAAGAAGCTCTAACAACCAGCTTGGATCCCGGTTTTCCTGGGCCTCCCAGGCTGCTGCAAGAAGGCAGGAGAGGCCTTCCTGAGGCCTGGGTCTCCAGGGGAGACCCGGCCCATCTTGCTGGTCCAAGGGAGTGGGGGGCGGGGCGATGGAGTGCTTGGTGGCGGCAAGCGGCCCTGTTAGAAACTGACGGGAGGGTAGGGGTGGAGTACTTTAACTTTTAATTGACACGGGTAAAATAAGGCTTGAAAATCTAAGATTGTAGGTTTCTTTACAGATTGCATTTAGGGGCGCCTGAGTGGCTCAGCGGTTTAAGCCTCTGCCTTCAGCTCAGGTCATGATCTTGGGGTCCTGGGATCGAGACCCGCATGGGGCTCTCTGCTCAGCCAGGAGCCTGCTTCTCTCTCTCTGTCTGCCCCTCTATTTGTGATCTGTCTGTCAAATAAATAAAATCTTCAAAAAAATAAAGATTGCATTTAAAAAATGTTTTGTTATTCTAAACTCTACTTTGACACATTCTAAGAGCTTCAACACTAAAACCCCCTCATTCATTCAGCGCTACCCCCACAGTGTGTGGGCCCTGCCCTGAGCGAGTGAGAAGGCCACCTGGCCGTGGAGGATGGGCAGCCATTGGAGGACCCGCCTTCCAGCTGGGGGCCCCGCCCCTCTGCAGTAAACACAGTGGCACACTCACAGCGGTGGAGAGTGGCTCATGCTGCCTGAACAGAGGAAAGAATTCTCATAACGCCAGGCACTTCTGGGGTCCGAAGGAGTCTGGGAGCCACCAGCATGAGGACGACAGAGGGTGACCCAGGAGCAAGGGCAGGTCTGGAGCCAGGGAAGGTATCTGAGGATTTTGGAGTTGGGCACTCCTGGGTCCACACCCCAGCACTGACTGACCGCCCTGGGGACTTGGCTGGATTCCTGCTGAGATCTGGAAGGTCTGTGTGGCTCACCCCCACCCACCAGGCCCAGCAGGCTTCCTTTGTGACCGCTACTGTCCAGGGGAGAAGGGCAGGCAGGTTAGGCCCCATCACAAGCTGCCGTCTGAGGGCTACACAGAGGAGGGCCCAGGCCCGGTACAGCTCTCTCCTGGGGGCCGCTCACCACCTTCCCCTTGGATCCATCCACATGCCTACTCAGCCTGTCCAAAGCCAGCACCAGCTTTGTCCCACAAAGTCCCAGCACTGACAGGCCCAGGGAGTTCAGGTCACCCAGGCCTGCACATGAATCTGTGGAAAGATTAAGCTGTGGCCACAGCGCCCGCTGGGACTGCTACAGGTACCCTACGCTGCATCCCCACCGGCTGACCAGCCAACACCCCCCCTGCAGCCGGCCTGCTTCTCACCTGCACAGCTGCTTTGCCAGCCGCTGCTGCCCTACTACTCCAGGGACAGTCATCCGCCCTGGCCCAGCAGGCTGAGCGGTCAGCAGATGAATGGGTAGCCTGGGGTTAGTCCGGCTCAGGGAGACAGTGCCCGTGGTGGGAGGGGGTGGCATAGAGCTGCTGGGGCCAGGCCTGGGAAAATGGACTTTATTACCTCCCAGGGAGTGGGAGAGCAAGATTAGGAGGGGACACACTCAGGACCCCAGGACTGGTGTCGGGGAGCAAGGTGCCGGGCCTGGCCAGCCCTTGGTTTCCCTGAGGACAGACATGAATGGCAGCCCCACTGCACAGCTGCCCAGAGCCACCCTGGCAGAGGAGTAGAAGGTGGGCCCAGATTGCCAGGCAGTGCCCTCCACTCCCGCAGGGTCTGAGGCTGCTGTCTCCGAGGCCTCTGTGGCAACCGGCGCCTACCCACACGCCACGCTTCACTTCCGGGCCTGCTCATAGTTCTGGGTGAACCAGGCACAGGTCTCCTTCACAGCTGCAGAAGTGGGCAGGAGACAGGTGGTGGCAGGTGAGGGCTGGGGCTGCACTGATCTCCGCTGGAGGACAGGGGGAGGCCAGAGACCCGGGCGACACAGGCAGTTACCCCTTCTGTGTCCTGCCTCCCCGACAAGGGTTTGGACACCAGACCCTGAGGGGGTCTGCAGCTTGAAGCAGGGACGCCCAAGCCAAGAAGGAGGGGATAGGAGGTCCCGAAGGTCCCGAGGGATGGGTGGGAGAGCGGTGGGAGGACCAGGGGGCTCACCCTGCTTGAAGGGTGTAAACCGGAAGTTGGGCAGGTAGGTCCGAAGCTTCCCGTTACTGGCCGTCTTCTTAAACTGCCCATCCGATTTGGTTATATCAAACTAGGTGCCTGGTCAAGGCCACAGCAGAAGGGGTGACCCTGCCCCAGCCTGCCCTTGAACCTCTTCTGCCTTTCCCAGGGGGAACCTTGGGGACAGAACACCACCCCTCCTCTCCAGCTGCCAGGGAAAGAGCCATCTTGGGTGCGTCAGAGCCAAAGGATACGGTGACCTCCCCATGGAAGTCCATGGCCTCCACCACAGCTTCAGCTGCCTCCTGGATGGAGACCTCTTCCTCCTCGCCCACTGTGGGGGAGCGGGGGCGGGGGAGGCAGGGGCCAACAGCCAGGTCAGGCCTCCTCCGCCTGGCCTCGCTGTCACCCAGTCCCCCACAATATTCATTCCCAACCCTAGCTGCTCCCAGGATGGACACGGGCTCTGCCCTGCCCCAGCGGCAGCGGCACCGAGGGGGACGCACCTGACAGGATGATGGGCTCCACCTCACTGTACTCCCGCAGGACCCAAACAAAGAGCCGGGCCAGGTCCTAGAAGTCACACAGGGTCAAAGGCCACAAGTTACGGCCACATGGGCCCAAAGGCCACCCCTCCTAGGTGCTCTGCTCAGTGAGGGTACAACCCGGGCTCCATTGGGGCCAGAAGTCTCTCCTTTTGGGTGGCTCTCAGCCAGCTCCCCCCCAACAGAGAGTCACGTCTCTCACTGAGCTCAGTGCTGTGCCTGGCGATGCCCAGAGGGCCAGGTGCCTATAGGGACCCAGGGAGGACCTGTGACTGCTCAGCCTGGACCCCTGCTCCTTTCCCAGGCTCCCTCATGCTATGGCCTTCCCACAGCCAGCATGGCCAGCCAGGAAACACTTGGGAGGAGAGCTAGACACCGCCCCACACCAACCCGTGAGTAGATGAACTGCCTCCGTGGCCTCCCGGTGCCCCAGACCGTCAGGGCGGAGCCGCTGCCTGCAGATTCAGGGAGGGGCAGGTGTTGGGGGGCTGTGCCAGCCACCATGCCTCCTCCCAGCTGAGGCCCTGGGGCCCCACAAGCAGGCACTCACTCTTGGCCAGGTGCACCTTGTGGATGAGGCCGGGCAGCACGTGGCCGTCCTCGATGTTGAAGTTGTCGTGGGGCCCGAAGACGTTAGTGGGGATGACAGCGGTGAAAGTGCAGCCATGCTGCTGGAAGTAGGCCCTGCGAAGTCCCAACGTCTCCTCCGGCCCTTGCCCTGGGACCGCGGACCCACCGCACCCGCCCTGGCCTCATGGATGCAGAAACCCAAGACCCGCGAAGAGGGCTGTGAAGGGTGGGAGCCCTGCCCGGGGAACCCACGGGGCCCTCCTCCCTTTTCCTGTCGGGTCTCAGCTGGGCACGCGGGCGGAGGACCTGTTCTGCACGTCGATCATCCTCTTGGCATAGGAGTAGCCAAAATTGCTGCTGTGCGGCGGCCCATTGTGGATCTAGGGGAGCAGGGGAGCCTTTGCTTTCCTGGCCCCGCCCCCGCTGGCCCCGCCCCGGCTGGCCCCGCCCCTCACCATGGTCTCGTCGATAGGATAGGTGGTCTTGTCCGGGAAGATACAGGTAGACAGGCAGGAGACCACCTTACGCACGCCCACCTCGAAGGCCGAGTGCAGGACGTTGTCGTTGATGTGCACGTTTTTCCTCTGGCCGGGGAGGGGGGGGGTGGGCAGGGCAGATTCGAGCCCCTCCAGGCAGGACTGCAGCCCATACCTGCCCCCCCCCACCCGGGGACAGAGCTGGACACACTCTGGTCCGTCCCACGAGGGCAGCACCTGAGCCAGCTCATTCCAGCCGCTTCCTGGGACAAGCCAACACCTCCCAGCATTGACCTTCCAGAAACCACGGCCCCTCCAAACCTGTTACATCCTCCCCATCCCTACCCCAGCCGTGGGGCTCTGGGAGGGGGCCGGAGGCCAGGACCACACCCCGTAGCTCAGCGTTGGACCTCGCCCACACAGATGCTGAGGGCAGGCCCAATCTGGCCCAGCGGCAGGGAGAAGGGGTCCCTCCATTCCTTTACCCGGAGGAGCCTACCCAACCACACCACCCAATAGGAGAGAAGCCTTGGCCAGCCCCACTCCTCCCCTGTCCCCCCTTTCCCTGGATCCTGGAAGGAAACTGGGCATTTGTACCACTTTTAGGAGAGGGAGAGACGGCACCCAGGAGGCTTCTGGGAAGAGTGCTACTGAGACAGGGAGATCTCTGGCGTGACAGGGGCCTTGGGCAAAATCTGACCGGAGCCTCTGCCATCGTTGTGCCTGATGCAGGGCTGAATCACACCAAGACCAGATGCCCAGAGCTAGTGGGGTCAAGCCTCAGGGGAACAGCCTGGCAGGAGCAGGGCTGTAGGCAGAGAGCTCTGCTCTCCTCCTGCCCCTTCCACCACACCTCACGCCCCCAGGCCAGATGCCTCAGACCCAGAGCCCAGCTCACATCTCTGCACCCCAGAAGGCTTGGCAGGCCTGGTTCAGTGCGGCTGGACCACAGAAGTCCGGGAGCAGGAGGGTCTAGAGGCCCAGAGGGCTCAGGGGTAGAAACCAACCCTACCAGGGTCAAGAAGCAAATAC